CCTTTTTAGTCACTGATATATTCATTGCAGCTATGTAATTTTTACACAACAATTAATTTTCAGATGATTCAGTTTTCTTCACGTTTATACTTTTCCAAAACTAACAGATTTTGCAATTAAGGAACAAAAGAAACATGGAACGGTGTGAATACAACAGTGCAATCCAGAGCTACACTTGATCGTCTCCCACAAATAATACTCCTAATATGATGGTAGAACAAGTATTTCTGCTCATGACGTCAAAATGGATTTTTAAGATAAAACCATAAATCAAGAATAAAATGACAATTATCCCCAATTTTCAAATGTAACCTTGGACTGATGGACTCGAAAGCTCGAACACAATTTGACATTTTCCTTAGATTGCTTAAACATTTCACCCATATGTAACAGTAAGAGGCAGTAGTTAACAATAAGAATTCGACTCTACAGTTTCCTAACTCGAGAAAATTGATAATTAAAGTAGTAAACTTTCATAAGCAGTCAGATAATACATGGCAATAGTTTTAAAAAGTGATGCTTTTAGACCATATATTACAAATGGAATATATAAAGACTAAATTCAATTTATTGGGTACTTCCAAGTTCCAACATCCGACAAGCCTAGGGCAAGCAAGGTCTTCCGTGGTTGGTAAAAAAAAAAATGAATCTGCAATTTTATTTAAATCAAGAATTTTTTTTCCTATGCTTCACTTCTTCGATAACATAACACTACAAACAAAAACACTGAAACAGAAACTATTTGCAATGTAAATTGTCTAAAAAAGATGAATCATATTAATAATAGTGAGGAAATATGTTTCTCCTATATCCTAAAGGTCGAAGAATTTTGATGTTATCAATAAGCTTATTGAGATTTCCTAAAATTGAAGCTATATAAAGATCCAAGATTTAAAGCAAAGTATATAGGTTAAGTTTTTATAGACTTTTGTAACACATTTTTTATATCACTAAATACCGTCCTAAGCTCCACTGTATAACATGCATCTCATACTCATTTCATATTAAAAATAAGAATATATAAAAGTATGTTTTAAAAGTTTAAAATTTGAAGTTTGAATGGATTTTAGTTGCTGCTCACTGTTTTATTATGAAAACTCATTCTCTCTCAACAAGTTTTCTCTCTCCGTATTCCAACTCGTTCAAGAACGAAAATCATCCTCCAAATTGAATCTGTGATATTCTAGTATGTATAAGATCTAATAGATTGTGAAAGTGTTTCACCTTGTTAATCCAAACTTCCTCATCATCTTCCTCTCAAGAAAATCCCAAACACATTGAACCCTAAATACATTGTGCTATTATTGTTGAATCTCTTGTTCGATCTCAGCATTGTTTGTGGGAGTAGGAACTCAGTTCATCGTCCTCCAAGATTGGGACATTTGAAGAAACTTTTTTGGAACCAAAGTTCAAGATTTCTACCTACACTAGTCTATTTTGTATTCTGAAATTTGAGGATTCTTCTAGAAGCAACTCTAATCTGATTTTTGAGACTTTATTGTGGTATACTCTGAAAACTTAAATTCCTGCATTGTTCATCAGTTTGGAGCATTATTATTGTGAGATATCCAGGTTCTTTCATACAATAATTTTAGGGCTTTTGGTACATATTTCATTATCTTGAATCTTTGCATATGTCATAAATTTTTGGAGCTTGGATTGTACTTATTGTGATATATATAGTGTGATAGGAGACTGTAATTTTGAATATATTTTTTTATAATTTTTTTGAATATTATATTGTGTGTTAGAGTGGTGTGCCTGAGTGTGTAAAATCTGTCCTAGGTGTGTTGGGTCTGACCAAGAGGGTTGGTGACCTTGTTGCTTGGCTTGAGAGTGTCTTTGAAGGCCTAGAGCCTTAAGAATCCACTGGCAGTATGAGTTCTTGTGTTGAGGAGTTGGTGAACTCCTAGGATTGGCTTGAGAAATTTTTTGATGCTTGGAGCAGTTTAGGCACTAGGATAGTTTTGTGTATTTTGATTGATTGTGTGTGAGAAGTGTGTTTGTATAACACTATTTTGTGATCAATAAAATATATATAGGTACTTCAGTCTGAATGTAGCATCTCATTGCACTATGGGATGTGAATTAGGATATATCGGTGTGTTTTTCTCTTTAATTTATCCTTTTTAATTTTCTAGATAGAGTGATAATAACACTATTTTCTGGTTCTCAAGTGCTATAGCACCTTAATTGATTTCTAGTTTGTTCAATTAAATAAGTGCTTTAGCACTTAAATTGTTTCTGATATATTCAAAGTATGTAGCTATGTATATATTCTGAAAAATCACTAAGATACGCTTTCTATTGTTATACATCATATAATATTGTGAAACTCAAGTGGGCATATAGGGACCAAGGGCGGACCTACATGGGGGGCTAGGATGGGTCCCCGTCCTCCTCTAAAATATGAAAATATGTTCTACTATATGATATGCAACATGGTCTAAAAAGGCAAAATTTTGAAAGTGCTTTTAAAAAGTGAAAGACAAGCGATATTATTCATAAGAAAAGTGTTTCACCTGTTCATTGCACCCAATTAAAGATAACTATTATTATCAGATTCAACCTATCCGAATATACGGCAATTTTGTTCTTTGTTTGCTACCTTCCCCAGTTAATGTGGAAAGTTGGCTTTTCCGTTGTATACAAAGAAGAGTTCAACTAGTATGCTATTCATTCTACATGTCAAATTTGTCTAGAATTTGATTTTATATTAATTGATTATCTAATTTTTCAAAATCACTCCCCGTTAAACCCGACTAGTGAATGTGGGGTAGAGAAAATCCTTATACGCAGCCTTACCCTTGCATAATTGCAAAGAGGTTGTTTCCTGGATTCGAACCCATGACCTTTCAGTCATGCAAGAACAAATTTTTTTTTTTGATTATCTAATTTTCTTTTTATAATCATTAAAAATTTGTTCAGATTGTCATGTTAGAACTCAGGAGAAGAGTATTTAAGTTTTGTCTTTGTTGGCAAAGAAAAAAGGTCAATAATAGTTATCAATTATTAGTTGGGATCAAATGCTAAAAATAAATAACACATTAATTAATTTATTATGTCTTATGCTAAATAACAGCTAAGGGAGAAAATAAGATTCTAAAGAAATCAAAGAAAGTGCAATTATAACCTATGAAGCATCGACACTTCAAAAACTCTGACGTGTCGTATCTGACACTTCCCGACACTCTCTGACACTTCGACACTTCCCGACACTCTAACACGCGTTATAGAATAAAAAAAAAGGTTTAAAGGTTGCGTTGCGTTGAGTTTTTAGTTCCAACTATTAGATTCGTTGGATTACGATTACCATTTTATTGAGTTTAATATAAATATTTGAGATATCTTATGTTTCTTTGCAAAATTGATGAATATTATAAGTTTAGTTTCATTTTTTTTAAATCATTGAATACTAAATATAATATACATTACATAAATTAAAAATATTATTTAATATCAAAACGTGTCCTAACGTGTCAAAATTTAATATTTTTTAGAATTAACATGTCGGAGTATCGTATCGTGTCACGTGTTCCGTGTCAGTATCGGTGCTACATAGATTATAACACCAGAAGGCATGAGGGTAAACAATAAAAAATTAATCTTACAAATAAAATATAGGGTCTTAAGGCTAGTTCTTCATTGAAATAGAGGGTGCAGTGGAACACTGTTACCGGAAACAAAAAATTGACATTCCAACCAAATAATTGGCAAAAAATTCTATAATTTTATTAGATTCTTCTTAATAGGTATTTTTGTATTCTTAACGTGATCATCCAACCAAAATTGACATTACCTTTTCATAATAGTAATATAAATTTTTGTCTACTGTCATATAATTTTCTGGGTCTGCCAGTGATAGGGACTTAAGCTTTTGACATTATAATTGACTGTGTGTTATCTGATATCAAACTAGTAAAATTAAGGGTTGATGATCCTTTTTAGTTAGTGTGTTTTAAAGTCTTCAAATTCTGCACTCTTAGTATAAGCAAATTTAAGATCCATTAACAAAAAAAATTTGAAAAATTTGTGAACATATTCACCCCCTTAGGTGTTCTTCCGCATCCTTATTAAAGAAGCCCTTTGTCCAGCAGAATTGACTCATGTAATATATAAAAGAGTGGGCGAGACCCATTATGGACAAAAGAGAGAAAAGAAAAAAATAAGTTTCATTCACTTTTTGTGCGTTGCATAAGATAATTTGTCTACGAAAAACACATTCTCCTTGTAATATCCTATTTTTTCAGCCAGATAATAAACGAATGTAATTTATGAAAGGATCAATGATGGAAATATTTATTATTTTTGTAAGATAAACCTCATAGCTAATCTAGTTAATCTTGTAATCACATTTGTCAATTTTAGCTCAGTTGTCCATACATAAGTTGATATATTCTTGAATTGGAATTTTAAAATGACTTCATAAAAAAGAAGAAGGAAAAAGATAGAACATAATATTCTGTGTGTCCATTTTCGTCGGTATCTTGATCTAATCTAAAGTTGTCAAAGGGGAATCACCCTGCAAATAAGGATACAGTGACAGTGAGCATATGTAGCTGCCCATCTGATCCGTTCAGGTAATGTTGCAGCCCACTCCATGGCAAGGCCCACAAGACTCATCAAACGGCCCAACAAATTAAAAGACTATAAAAGCCCAATACACCACTACCAGGAAATGCAACTAGCGACTTTCCAAGTAGATGTTGAAGATAATAATAGCTATAAGTGTTTGTTTTGGATTTGTATACTGTGGTGTGAAAAAGTAGTAACGTAGTCATGTTATTTGATCACAATTATTTATTGATGATGAGATAAAAAAAAATATATATATACGATTTTTAAATAAATAAATAATTATAATCAAATAATATAATCACATTGGTCACTTTTTCATCTGACACTATTCACTCCCGTCTTTTTTTAATTAGCTGCCAAGATTAGGACTTTTCTTTGTCGTTTACGTTTTTAACTTGTATGCTTCTGGTCTATATAAGAAAGTAAAGGGTATGAATAAAGCAGAGACAATTTACCTTCTTTTCTGTCTCTCTTTTCTTTATACTCTTTCCCCTTTACTCCCCTCCTCTCTTCCTTCTATGATCGACCTCCCACAGGTAAAAACTCATTTATGACCCTCACTTCTATTTTCTGTTAATAACTAACCATTGACCATTCGGTTATAGTTAAGAATCTTTGATTCTGTTTCTTGCATAGGTTTCCGCTGTACTTGTTAATAGTGTTCCTTTTGTTGAGCAATAACTTGCAAATCTAGCTGCTTTATTATATATTCTCTTGCACTTGTATCTACCTTTGTTTGATGTGTAAACTGACAACTCTTTTTCTATGGTTATTTATCTTCTAGCGTTAGCCAGTATTGCTGAGAATTTGATAAAATTCCTGTAAATCTGATAATTATGTCTCAGTGGGAAGACACTCAATAGTGTACTGATGATTATGTCTTTTAATTATGTATGTGATATTGTTGTGCATACTCCAAGCTTTTCTGTCAAATAAGGATGATTACTGATTAGAATTTGAACATTTATCTGACTCATGAATTGGAAGGAGATAAAACCATATAAACCTGTTGATTAGTTCTATGTGGCTTCACCAGGTCCTGATCTTGAAACCTGATCAAGTCACACAAGTATACCCCAAAATCTTATTCTCCGCGAGTTTAAGATATGTGAGACTCAATGAATTCATCACTTTGATTTGCAAAATGCAAAATGCAAAATCCTATTATCTTTGAGCCCTCATCCTTCCTTCTTTTATTTATGTTTTTCTAAGCGAACAAAATCCATAATTTGTGATAGAAACATAAATATTTCTCATAAACTCATAATCACCCCTTTTTACAGGTCCAATTTTTTTTATAAAAATCTATGTCTAGCAGAATCGATTTGTTACTGAAATCTATATGTAAAGGCTTTCTTAGTGTATGTTTATGCCTCCCCATTTAATTTTAATTTATGATACCAAGTTCAGTAAAAACTGAGTATGGTTGATATTGGTTGTTTAGAGCCCAGAAATGGATGCTGATAGAGTGGTGCATACTGGAGGTTGCCTTTGTAAGAGTGTAAGGTGGAAAGTGCTTGCTCCTTCTAGCGTTGTGGCATGGGACTGCAACTGCTCAAATTGCTACATGAGAGCTAATACTAACTTTGTTGTACCTGCTGACAATTTTGAGCTTCTGGGAGATTCCGGGAAGTTTCTTACTACTTATACTTTTGGCACTCACACTGCAAAGCACCCATTCTGTAAAATCTGTGGTATAACCTCATTCTTTTATCCACGCTCAAATCCAGATGGGGTTTCAGTTACATTCAGGTGTGTTGACCCTGGAACATTGACACACATTGAAATCAGGAATTTTGATGGGAAGAATTGGGAAAGCTCATGTAATCAGACAGGCATCTCTTCGTGTTCAAAGGTGCAGAAGTAAATCCCATAACATAAGGGACTAGAAGATAGTTGAGATCATTAGCAGTCCTGTATGAAGATTTTTGGTGCCTCAACACATTTTGTGTTGTTCATCCAAATACTCTTGTGTCTCGACATGATAAATATGACAAAGTACAATAAAAAAATGTTCACAAACAAATAATCTATTTGAATGAGGTATTCTTGTGTTTAGAATGTTTATGCTTCGAAGGTTTCAACTTACACGTCAAAGCTATGGTCTTCATAGAAAGTAGAGATAGCTTCTCAAATTGATATAATATTTAATGACCGGTATCTTTTGCTTACGTTTGGATTTTACTAATGCAAACAGGTACTCACTGCTTAGATTTTGCAATTAAGGAACAAGAGAAATGTAGAACTACCGGTAAATAAAACAGTGCAATCTAGACTTGATCGTCTCCCACAAATAATACTCATAATATGACGGTAGAACAAGTATTCCTGCTCATGACATAAAAATGGAATTTTAAGATAAAACCATAAATCAAGAATAAAATGACAACTATCTCCAAGTTTCAAATGTGACTTTGGACTGATGGACTCGAAAGCTCGAACGCAATTTTGAAATTTGCCTCTTCTACGTTGAGCTTCAGTTTTCACCTTTGGTGTCCAGGTTCGTTGACTTCGCCTTGGATTGCTTAAATTTTTCACCCATATTTAACAGTAAGAGCCAATAGTTAGCAATAAGAATTTGACTCTGCAGTTTCACGACTTGAGAAAATTGATTATTAAAATAGTAAACTTTCATAATCAGTCGGATACGGTGGCGGATTCAGAAAATTAACGAAAGGTGGGCACTAAGTTCAAGTACATATAGATCTAGTTCTGATATGAACTGTGACTTTTGAGCAGCTGCCGACTGTATGAGTCTGGTTTAGATCTAGATATTGACGGATTGCGACTCAACTGGATCGATGATGGAGGAAGAAGCAAATATTCCATCTTCCAATAATGGAGATTTAGGTTTGAGAGAAGATGAATAAGTGTCTAGATGCATATGATGGGTATGGAATAGAGTTCTCTGCTGTTAGGTTTAAATAATGAAGGTGGAGGAGAAAAAAAATCACGAAAAAATAAAATAGAAGGAGAAAAATTAAAGGAGTAGGATATTGTAACAACTAACTAGGGTTACTACTAATCAATTTCATTGTTAGATCGATTATGTTGATCCAACGGTTATATTTATTTTCATCTTTGTATAGTTATCATCCCCATATTTAATGTAAAAATATTAAATATGGGAAATCATCACCATACAAAGTTGAAAATAAATATAAAGTATTAAATATGAGAAATTATAACCATACAAAGATAAAAATAAATATAACCGTTGGATCAACATAATTGATCTAACAGTGAAATTGATTAGTAGTAACATTGGTAGTAACCCTAATTGGTTGTTATAATATCCTATCCCGAAATTAAATTAGAAAAACTTGAATTTTAAGAGAAGGATATTTTTGTATTTTTATATCAAATTTCAAGGGTGAGCACTTGCCCCCTTCTCTTGTATGTGGATCCGCCTATGGTCGGATAACCCAAATTGTACATGGCAATAGTTCTAAAAAGTGATGCTTTTACACCGCATGTTACAAATGGAACATATAAAGACGAAGTTCAATTTATTGGGTACTTACCAAACATCTCCTCAGGAGGATAGATGGGGCGATTCAGGTGAGATCCAACTTTCTATTCACTCATGGGATTCAGGCGGTATGGGGGGACCACCGTCGCTCCTCTCTTCTCGAGAATTCATACATCCCAACATGCAAGGTCTTCCATGACCGGTAAAAGAAAAACATGAATCTACATTTTTGTTTTCAAACCCATTTATAGCAATGGATTGTCATTTAGCTCGTTAATAATGAGATCACCACCATGGGCTCCCCATATTCGCGTAAAATATTTACGTGTATATATATAGGCTTATCGTTTCTCAAACTGTTTGAGATAATTTTATCTTCGGCTACTAAATCATAACCGTATCAATGATGATAAAGGAAGAGATTCAAAGGTGAATCAATTAAATTTAAGGAAATAAATAAACAAAACGACGTAGTTTTGGGTGGCCGGAGATAAACTTATCTCAAGTTGCTGGAGAAATATTTTTCCATATATATATATATATATATATATATATATATATATATATATTAATTTAAGCTCATTACCTATGAGCTTCTAATTTAATAAGTAATTATTTAGAACACCTGTAAATTAACCTCCTTTATTTTCTGATACAAACTTTTATGTAAATTGAAACTAAATAATAATTCTAATTCTGGTGGTGTTAAGGGCATAGTACTCCTCTTACTGACCCAATATATTTAAAGCATTTTTTTTTCGGTAAACATATTTAAAGCATTTAACTAATTAATTAGTCAACATAATTTAAGAAATATTTTTAAATGTAAAAAATTAATTTAAAAATAGTTTCACTCTAATAAAATTAACATAGAAACTCATATTCAAAATTTAAGAATTATATGTTTTAATTTTGTCATGTTTATGTGTAGCAATATTTAGCTATGTAAATTTAAAGTTAAATACAAGGAAAAATAGTTATTCTAATTTATTTTGATATGTTAAGTGATTACAAAAAAATTATATATATATATATATATATATATATATATATATATATATATATATATATATAGAAGGGAGGTTATACTTACAACCTATTTTCATTTACAACCTCTTACAACCACTATCTTAACCGTTGATTTTCGTCAATCAACGGTTAAGATTTTCGTAAATAAAATTTATTAATTAATTATTAATTCGCAATAAATGATAACTGTTGATTGACGGATATGGTTGTAAGTATAACCTTTCTATATATATATATATATATATATATATATATATATATATATATATTAGTTTTTACAATTTATGAATTGTAATTTCAAATCGTTGATAGCAAAAAAAGTTATTTACGCACAGAATTGATATGTAATTATACAATTTGTTACTTCTCAAAATAAATAACATTTGATTACCTCTCTCAAGACACTTTTTTCTATATACATATAGAAGCCCCCAAATGTTACAAAAGAAACTCTTACTATTAAAAACCGAAGTATAGAGTCCCCCTAAAGAAAAGTAAGTATAGATTGTAGATTGGGTTTTGTTCTCATATGTATGGACCAAAGCCCAAATTAGCAACAGAAAGGAATCTAATCTGGATTGTGAAGCCCAATCACTTGCCTGCACCCAAAACCTAGATATAATGTACACTAGCAATGTTAAATGTCTCAAACTTGCCCTTAGTTTTTGAGTTCTCAGTTCTCACAAGAAACTACAAACAAAAATAACGAAACAAAAACTATTTGCAATGTTAATTGTCTCAAAAAATTAACCATATTAATAATGAGTTTTATAAGAGTTATGTTGTAGAAAAAGTGATCATGTAATGTTATAGAGATTCGTTTTGCGTATCGTAATTTTCTTTTTTTCTTTTTTCTTCAAAAAATGTGAGTCCCACAAAATATTGTGTGTAGAAAAATTTATTGTGTCATGTTAAATGACAAATGCAAATATGTGAAATAGATACAACATAATATTGTGTGTGTGTCCATTTTCGTCGGTTTATAAATGAAAATGCAAAGTCAAAGTAGTTCGTTCTCTTTATCTAAAGTTGTCAAAGGGGAATCACCCTGCAAATAAGGGTACAGTGACATTGAGCATATCTAGCATCCGATCAGGTGAAAACTCATTTATGAGCCTCAGTTCTATTTTTTCGTTAATAACTGACCAGTTATTGTAAAGAATCTTTGGTGCTGTTTCTTGCTTAGGTTTTCGCTGTACTTGTTAGTAATGTTCCTTTTGTTGAGCAATAACTTGCAAATCTAGTTGCTTTATCATATATTTCTCTTGCACTTGTACCTATCAAGGTTTTCTTCTTTGTTTGAAGTTTAAACCAACACCTCTTTTTCTATGGTTATTTGTTTCCTAGCGTCAGTCAGTAGTGTTGAGAATTTGATAAAATTCCTATAAATCTGATGATAATGTCTCAGTGGGAAGACACTCAAAAGTGTACCGATGATTATGTCTTTTGTGTATTGAAGCTTTCTGCTTACGAAACTTAGGAACTCAGGAAATGCAATGCATGATATTGTTGTGCATAAGGATGATTACTGATTAGAAGTTGAACATTTATCTGACTCAATAATTGGAAGGAGACAAAACCATATAAACCTGTTGATTAGTTCTGTGTAGCTTCACTAGGATCTGATCTTGAAACCTGATCAAGTCACACAAGTATACCCCAAAATCTTATTCCTCCCCATTCTATAAGCATTGGAGAATTTTTTCATACCAAAAATAAAAAATACTACGTTCCGCTTGTTTAATATACGTGAGCCTCAATGAGTTCATCACTTTGATTTGCAAAATGCAAAATCCTATTATCTTTGAGCCCTCATCCTTCCTTTTTTTATTTATGTTTTTCTAAGCGAACAAAATCCATAATTTGTGTTAGAAACATAAATATTTATCATAAACTCATAATCACCCCCTTTTAGAGGTCCAATATCTATAGAAATTTATGTCTAGCAGAATCCATTTGTTATATGAAGGCTTTCTTAGTATATATTTATGCCTCTAGTATGGATGTGATTCCAAATTGTTCCCCATTTAATTTAAATTTAAATTTATGATACCAAGTTCAGTAAAAACTGAGTCTCTGTACTTGACAAACTCTTGTTGATATTTGGTTGTTTTAGAAACCAGAAATGGATGCTGAAATGGGGGTGCATACTGGAGGTTGCCATTGTAAGAGTGTAAGGTGGAAAGTGCTTGCTCCTTCTAGTGTTGTGGCATGGGACTGCAACTGCTCAATCTGCTACATGAGAGTTAATACTGGCTTTATTGTACCTGCTGACAATTTTGAGCTTTTGGGAGATTCCGGGAAGTTTCTTAGTACTTATACTTTTGGCACTCACACTGCAAAGCACACGTTCTGTAAAATCTGTGGTATAACCTCATTCTATTATCCACGCTCAAATCCAGATGGGGTTGCAGTTACATTCAGGTGTATTGATCCTGGAACATTGACACACATTGAAATCAGGAATTTTGATGGGAAGAATTGGGAAAGCTCATATAATCAGACAGGCATCTCTTCGTGTTCAAAGGTGCAGAAGTAAATCCCTTAACATAAAGGGACTAGAAAATAGTTGAGATCAATAGCTGTCCCGTATGAAAATTTATGTTCCCTCAACACATTTTGTGTTGTTCATCCAAATACTCTGGAGTCTGGACATTATAAATATGACAAAGTACAATAAAAAAATGTTCACAAACAAATAATCTATTTGAATGAGGTATTCTTGTGTTTAGAATGTTTATGCTTCGAAGGTTTCAACTTACACGTCAAAGCTATGGTCTTCATAAAACGTAGAGATAGCTTCTCAAATTGATATTTAATGACCGGTATTTTTGCTTACTTTTGGATTTTACTAATGCAAATAGGTAATCACTGCTTAGATTTTGCAATTAAGAAACAAGAGAAATGTAGAACTACCATTAAATAAAACAGTGCAATCTAGACTTGATCGTCTCCCACAAATAATACTCCTAATATGACGGTAGAACAAGTATTCCTGCACATGACCTCAAAATGGAATTTTAAGATAAAACCATAATCAAGAATAAAATGACAACTATCCCCAAGTTTCAAATGTAACTTTGCACTGATGGACTCGAAAGCTCGAACACAATTTTGACATTTGCCTTGGATTGCTTAAACATTTCACCGATATATAATAGTAAGACCCCGAAGTTAGCAACAAAAATTTGACTCTGCAGTTTCCAGACTTCAGAAAATTGATAATTAAAGTAGTAAACTTTCATAATCAGTCGGATAACCCAAATCGTACATGGAGTAGTTCTAAAAAGTGATGTTTTTACACCGCATATTACAAATGGAATATATAAAGACCAAATTCAATTTATTGGGTACTTCCAACATCCGACAAGCTCTGGGCAAGCATGGTCTTCCATGGCCAGTAAAAGAAAAACATGAATCTGCATTTTTATTTAAACCAAGAAAAAAAAGTTTCCATGCTTCACTTCTTCAATAGCATAGCACTGCATTGTGCCATTATCTTTGATGCCCTGGTAATGGAATCAGTCATATAGAAATTCTCAACTGCAGTCCCAAATGCAGTCGTATCAACATTTTTGGTGAAGGTTGGTCTCAGAGAAGATGGCAATGTGGCTGGCTCTTTCTCATCCATGTGCACAAGATTTGGTGCTACAGTCCTGATTCGGGCATGAACAGCCCCAATTGTATCATAGGGCAACCGCACTCCTGACACCTCAGACAAAGCTCGAATTATCTTCCAATCATCTCTGGAGTCACCAACTGTTGGAACTGCAGGCAATGTTTGTTGGGTGCATCCTTCAGTGTTTTCATAGGTCCCTTCCTTCTCACTGAATGCTGCTGCTGGCAAAATGACGTTTGCGCGATAAACACTCTTGTCACCATGATGACCTTGATAAACAACAAAAGCATCCTCCGAGATATTGTCCATGTTTATATCATCAGCACCCATCAAATATACAAATTTTGCAGACTCAAGGCTTTTTTCAGACTGGGGCACAAGTCCAAGGTCAAGTGCAGCAGCCTGGGCAGCATGGAGAAGCAATACATTAAGGCCATTCCAGTCAGGTCTGACAACATTCCCTTTTTTCGCAATGGTTTCAACAGCTGCAAAAATTGCATCCTGGTCCTTCCTCTCAAAAATACCAGCACCAACAATGATAACAGGGTTTTTAGCATTTGAGATAGTCTTGAAAAATGGGTGGCGACCCTCAGCAATTTCCAGAAGTGTTTGAGGGCCAGTACCGAGATGTTGGTGATCATAGTTGAAATCAGGAGCAGGCCCAATGTACCCAACCTTGGCTTCGTTTGATCTGACAGTCTTCCGTATTCTGGCATTAACCATAGCAGCTTCCACCCGTGGCTGCAAATTTGAAAATGAACACACAAGGCAATCAAAGAGACGCCAGAAGCAACGAAAATTATACACCCTTAGAAGATCCCATCCCAGCACTATGTATAACCAGTAGATATGAGCTTAGCCAAAAACACAAAATAATTCAAAAAGCTTTTTTATTGAATAGTCTTAATTTTTCTTCCACATAACCTCCCTCGTGCCCTTAAAGCCCCAAAATAATAATTATCAAATCCAGTGCAAATACCAAGATATTGCTAAAAAGGAATGACATTTCAATAACACAGGAATCATTAGATCATCAATAACATTAAAAAATATATATTATTCACTAAAATAAATTATACCTGGGTACCAACCAACAGAAAAACATCCGCTTTCTCAAGACCAGCAATGCTAGTATTCATAATATATCCTGATCTCAAATCAGCATTAGTATTTACGCCAATGCCTTCACACCACACATTATTTGACCCCATCTTATTCAAGAAATCTTTTAGTGCAATCATGGACTCAGCATCAGAAAGTTTGCCAGATATTCCAACAATTTCTTCTGGTTTAACTTGATGGGCAATCTCTGCTACCACAGCAAGGGCATCACGCCAGCTCACAGCCTTAAAGCGTCCGTCAGAACCACGAATCATGGGGTCATTTAACCTCTGCCTCTTTAAACCATCATAACAAAAGCGGGTCTTGTCTGAAATCCATTCTTCATTTATGTCCTGCAATGAGCAAGCAGAAAGAGCTGTATTAGCAGACTATGAACAGAAACTATCCCCCCCACCCCCCCCAAAAAAAAAGCACGACTCCAAAAAAATAAAAAAAATAAACACTACTCCCATAGTAATAGCACTAAGTTTTCCCAAATGCATAAAAATATGAAACGATTTGCCCAAACTAAGCAGTATAAAGTTAATCCAAAAAATAATAAATCACATCCCTTGATCTCACAAGATCAAATGGCACATAAAATGTGGATTCACTGCAAACCAGATTTGGATTCTCTCAAGTGAGCTTTTCACATGAAATGGCAATATTAAAAAAGGCAACAAAAATATTTGATATTTGTGGGGGGCCTATACAGGGGATGTGAACTCCTCAAGTGAGCTTTTCACTGAAATGGCAATATTAAAAAAGGCAACAAAAATATTTGATATTTGTGGGGGGCCTATACAGGGGATGTGGGACTCCTTGTACAGTCTCTCTCTCTCTCTCTCTCTCTCCACATGACCCTATCTAGTGAAGAATTAACATGATAGGATCACCGTTCCTTAAAAAAAAAACATTCACATTTCATAACAATATGGTCTAGAGTCCAGACTCAAGAGGTTACTCCAGAGTTCATGGCAAATGGCCCAATACTTTCCCTCCAACCCACCCTCTGAAAACAATAAAAGACTGGTTAAGGAAGTTCTATAACAAAATGCTCAAAAAGATGAGTAAAATCCTCATTTATTCTTTTGAAAGTATGGTTGTTCAGTTACAAATGAACCAGCAGTTATTTGGTTCTGTAACAATAATTATTGTACCAATCCAGTCCTTAAAGGATTTCTTCTTCTTCCTTAATCCTGAAACCCACATCAATGGAATAATTGGTACACACAGAAATTAATCAAATTATAATTAGGAAAAAAAAATCAGCATCAGTTTTTCGAATACTCCACATAGTTCCACTTATGTGTAATGTGTTTCCGACTATTCATGGGAAAAATACTCCTTAAGCATCAGCAAACTCTGACATGTGCATGAATGCCAGTGGTTTTTCATAGAGAAACCGAATAATTTTAAGAACCAAAAAGAAAATTGCAGCCTTAGCAACCACAAACAGTTCAACAAAACATATTTATCAGAATCTAACCTCATTTAAACGAGGAACAATGCGCAAGACTTCAGGTCCTCTGCTATCAATTCGAATATTGGATCCAACAGCATCAGTAACATCAATGCTCTCTGTACCCTTCAACTCCCAATTCCGGGCTTTAAATGCAAAAGGTTTTGAAGTGAGTGCTCCCACAGGACAGATATCTATCACATTTCCAGAAAGTTCGCTTGTCATAAGTTTCTCAACATATGTTCCAATCTCCTCTCCACTGCCACGACCTAGCATGCCAAGATCCTGAACCCCTGCAACCTCTGTTGCAAATCTAACACACCTGTTCGAAGAAAGAGATATTTCACCAGAGCCTTCTAAGGCACTCAGATAACATTGTTTTACAAGACATATAGCACGTAAGTGACAACATAAAGAGCGTGTTTCTCAAAAGAGAAGGTTGGGTCTCACAAAATTGCCAATGCCTATTAGTACCAAATGTCAAAACCAGAAATTAAAAGAAACCATAGATGGCCCTTAGCTCACATAGCAACAAGTAAGGAAAATAATCAGACTAAATTATACTCAGGAAAGTCACTTCCATTATATGTAAATTAAATTGACCCACAAGTTTCCTCGGAGACAATCATAATGCCATATTAACCACTGCTCCATTTTAAATTGAAATTAAGCAACTCAGGAGGTCCTTAACTTTTACAAGAATATTGTACACATAAACATGATATAAACTATCACAGTACTTGATACTTTTTTGAGAACAAATAAGTCATAATGAATTTCTGACTTCTAATGTGTAGAATGTATAGTAAAAACTGCAATTCACGATGATAAGATTAGCAGGTAAAAAAAGTAGTCATATCCAATATTGACCTTGTACATTGAATGCACCGAGTCATCACAGTCTTCACCAAAGGTCCAAGATTTTTATCCACCACAGATCTCTTCATTTCAGTGAACCGACCACGATCAGCGCCAAATGCCATTGACTGATCCTGAAGATCACATTCCCCACCCTGATCACAAATCGGGCAATCTAATGGATGATTCATCAATAAAAATTCCATCACCCCTTCTCGAGCTTTCTTTGCTACAGGCGTGTCGGTCTTAATTTTCATCCCTAAAGATGAACATCGCATTAGATTACATCTTTGTTTTTTTTATTGGTGAATGCATTAGATTACATCTTTAACATGTGTGCAGGAATTAGTGCATATAAATATCAAATGAGTAAATAAGTACAATCCGATTGAAAAATGAAGATGCCATCAGCAAAACTAACTTATCTCAAAATTTCTCTATAATTAAAAAAATGAATTATGATTATGGTGCAATGGAAAAAAGAAAGAGAAAAACAACAGAAGTAAAAATGGAAAATTTAGAGTATGAAAAAAAATAATAAGAGAACAAGCACAAACTATTTTGCATAAAAATCCGCAAAAATAACAATAGACTAAACATAAATTATTACAAAAAACAGAAATGTCAGCTCGAAGGTTGAAATGAATAATATATTAAATACAACTAGATCAAAGTTCGCTAGTATCACTAATTCACCATCATCTACGAACTACAATGTGCAAATAACATAAATTCATCGAAGTTTATAACACAATAAACGAAAGTAGAAATTTGAGCATAACAGCAAGCAACCAGACAGTCATCAACTAGGTTTGATAATGTGCGTCTAAAGTTTGATGATAATGGAAATCAGACAGAGAAAAATTAATCAAATTAAATAAAGAAAAAAGTATCAGAATATGCAGAATCACTCTAATCATAAATAAGATCAAACTAATCAATATAGACGCAAAAATCATCAAGCCAGCAACAGAACCAACAGAAAACTAATCATAACAGAAAATAATTTTTTTTTAAAAAATTGAGAAAAAAAAAAGAGCTAACCAGGAAGAGCAGGCATGGCGCAAGAAGCAACAGGCTTGGGGGATTTCTCGACTTCAACGAGGCACATACGGCAATTGCCGGCAATGGAGAGTCTGCTATGGTAGCAAAATCGAGGGATGTCGACGCCGGCAATCTCACAGGCCTGAAGAACTGTCATACCCTTGGGGATTTTCACGGGGTAGCCGTCGACGAACACCTCAATTGCATCGTCAGGGTTCGGGAAGTGAACTCTTGCGCCGGCGACCGGAGTTCGGGGAGGGAGCGGAGGCTGTTCCGGCTGGGGTTGTGCGGCGGTAGCTTCCGGATTCCGAAGCTCGGGTTTTGAAACAATGGTTCGGATGAGGAAGTTGCTAGGGTTTTGGTAATTGAAGAGCCTTGAGGTGGGTCTCATGGCCTTCGAAGCTAACAAACCCAACCACATTTTTTTTCCTCTGATTCTCTCTTTCTCTCTCTCTAGATTGTGACCTTGATTGGAGTGTGCGATTTGGTGCTACGAGAGAGAAGCGTCTCAGATCGTTGAAGGAATCTTCGATTTTCGGAGCTAAGATGTGAGTATGTGAGAGTGTGGGGATTGAAGAGGAAAATGCATTTGCAGAAATGGGTGGGCTACTCCGATACCAGATTCGGGTTTACCCAAACCCGACCCGTTAATAAATGGTGTAAGATGAGTGAAATGCTTTGATTCTTTTGTCAACAATGCTTTTTTAGCCTTTCAATTTCAATGTTGAAAAATGAATAAAACGTAAATAGATTTTTGGAGGACAACCCATTAACCGACTTATACTAATGAACTGTCTTTTCAATTTTTTTCAAGACCTTCTTCATTAAGCACAATAATTATCATAATCGTACTAGTTAGTATTTATCATAATAGTAAACCTTCTCATCTATTTATCATGTCCACAGTCCACTACGACTTTCTAACAATCTACTAAGTAGTATCAGCGAGATTTTTTTTTTTCATAATCCATTTAATTTAACTTTTTACTACGATACTTGAACAAAAATATAACCAATTCACGGTATAATCCAATTAGATTTTAAAATATTACTAAATATTTAAGAAAATTAATATATTATATTGAATCTTATCTTATGTCGTAAAATACCAACTGTTCAATATGCAATAAAATTGCTAGTTACCAACTTATCATAAAGAATACCCACTTTTTTTTTGTTACATAAGATTACCCACTTTTAAAATACATTAGTAAGTGAAAATTTAGAAGATACTGAGTATAACCAAAGAACCACAGACACTTGTAAAAACAGGGAGAGTCGTGTCCGACACGGCGACACGCTCCGACACAATGTCGGACACACGATCAACTTTTTTTGACACATTGACCATTCCGACACGCGAATTTGACCGTGTCCGACACTGTCAAATAACATTTTCGTAATTTTTTTTAATTTTTTTTTTTTAAAAAAATTATTTTTAAAAAAATTAAAATATATTAATAAAGTTTCACCTGATCATATCAATTTTATTTTATTTTTTTGTCTTTTTTCCCCTTAAGTAGATAAGAGATCTTCTCAGTATCATTGTTGTCAATTTCTATCACGTTCTTGTTGTATCTCATTGTCTCTGATCTCTCTCTCTCATATGATTTGATCTCTCTATCTGATATTATATCTCTCTCTCATCCCAGTTTTTATTTTTTTTATTAAAGCTTCCATCTTTATAACATGTTGATGGGTATTATTAATTTAGTTTCATTTTTTTGTTAAATTATTAAATATTAAATAAAATATACACTATATAAATTAAAAATATTATTTAATATTAAAACGTGTCCCAACGTGTCGAAATCCACAATTTTTTAAGATTGACGTGTCGGAGTGTCGTGTCACGTGTCGTATCGGTGCTATATAGAGTATAACTCCTATTTGGAATTATTTGAAACTCATCATCAATCCAAGTACTTCAGTGGATACTTACAATTAATAAAATGCAGATGCTATTAGGTTGATCTTATTTAACGCGTAAAAAAATAAATAAAAACTTAATTTGTATAGTTATAATTTAATTAAATAGAAAAGAAATCCGAACTTTGCTTGCCAACAAGAGAACTAATCGCAAATGCCAATAGTAAGAATAGTAACAATTTCATTTCTTCCATGTTTCTGATTATACAAACTTCTTACCTTGTCCTAATACGAATTATCCTAATACAAATTATCCTAATACAAGAAACATTGGGCTAAACCGATTCCATTTTGTTGAATTCTTCCATCACTAGTTATTGCCATGCTTTACTTTTTTTCACCCAAACTGAGAAACTTGATGGCATGAATAGGAGCAACCTTTCTTTCACTATCTGTCCCTAAAAAAGTCAAAAACCCCCACACTACAACTCTCTCAATGCCAACTGATAAATTAAAACCTTCAGTCACGATAAAAGTAGTAAAAATAACTAAACGAGTAAAAATTGTTTAGGTACGGAGAAGATATTTACAGCGCTAACATTGACAAAGGAAAAACAGATACACCACATTAAGGCTATATTTTGACTATTTTCATTACATTTCCTTACACTCACCTACAAGTTATATATAAATGACCTGTGTTACAGAGAAAATTCTGAAATAAAATTCACAAGCGCAAGAATGCGGCCCAAATAATGCACATCCTTGGAAATTCTTCAGAAACTAGTAATTTGCATATAGAATGACCCTATTTAATTTTGCCCTAGTTTCACAAAATTTAGTAGTCAATTTCCGCAAATCATATGTTAATCCCTCTTCATCGCTTTGGTGACTAAAGCTCTTGTAATAACTATTGCAAGGTAGGCCAAGATTGTCAAAATGATACCTCCAAACAGAACAAGACGATCGTAAGCACCAATTTGGACTGTGTAGACCCGCAAACCTATTGCATTCCAGTTGCTTTCTGTCCAGACAGGGTCCACAACCCCCATGTTGTCAGAGGAATTAGGGGGCAAAACATTCCATACTCCTGATTCAAATTTTAACCGTGTTGAATATGCTGGAACATACCTGTAAAGGATTAAACATTATGGTAAAATCAAGGTGCATCAATCTGGCCTTTTATTCATGTCAATCCAACAAGCAGCACACTACCAGGACAGTGGTACCTGGCACATAAATACATAAATAATCTAAAAGGTAAATGGTGCAGTCTACCCAATTATGAACATCACATCAGCGTAGTAAGCAAGGTGTTAAATATGATGTGAAACTTAAACATGGTAATATTCTAGAACAACAAAATCCATTTAAGGAGCCATACAGTGAATGATATTACCCCCCCCCCCCCCCCCCCCCCCCCCCGGTCCCCCTTTTTTCCTCCTCTCCTTTGAGTTCAATGGGAAAAACCAATGGGTTAATCCGCAATCAGCATGAATACCAAGTGTGATAAATATGTCCTGCATGTGCGTGAACCTGTGAGCGTGTCTCTGGTGTGGTGTGCGTGGGGGGGTGGGGCGGGAGGGGGGCAGGTTTAGGATCAAATGACTCCAACATGAAAACAAACACCTCTTGTACACAGTCAAATGAGATTTGACAAATCATGTATCTTATACAACCATTTCCAACTTCAATCTGATTCATAAAATTACATTTTCTATTTAAAATGGCAAAAAGGTACGCATATGATTCCAATCTAAATCTAACCATAGGATGGGACAGTCAACCAATAATTAATGTAATCATAGTTAAACAGCAATGGTGAAACACAACAGGGATAAATCCCAGTTTCATTTTAACCTAAGTTGGACGAACTGCCAAAATAGCAAGGGTTCGAATCTTGGAGAGTACCTTTGGGGCCAGAGCTAGACAATTGTCTAACCGCTATACCTGTGCTGGCCTCTTTCCCTGTCTTGGTCGTGGAGATACCTAAGGGACCTGACTTGCTCCAAAGGAATAATTAGGGTTATGGAATCCAAAAATAAGTTGGATATAGGAGTCATGGCATTCATGAGTTTTATGTTCTATCCATGGTTTTGTTCATTCCCACCATAAAACGAAAAGATATAACACTTTTCGAATTCCCTGAGCAGTAAAACTCAATTAAAATATAGAGGCAGAAGCAGAACATTAAATGATAGCAAGCATGCCTAATCCTTGAAAAAAAAAAATTCCCAACAAGAAACTACAAAATATAGGTTGAAAACTGCACCGCTAACATCCTTAATTCAGGATCAAGATTCAAGAGTGATATATCTGAATCTCTCTACTAAATCTAATAAGTATAGGTAGACAAGGAAAAATACCTGGTCGTAGAGAGAACACAAACTCCCTTCCCATCAGTCTCTGCTTTAATGCAAACTTCATCTTTACCATTGCAACCTTGTTGACAACCTGAGCTATTATTCTCCCTCGGGATAGAAGTTCTGTCAGCTAGAAAATTCCAGACGAACCTAGGAACATCATTAATGTATCCTGGATAAGGTGTAGATGAAGGTTCATCTATGATAACACCAACATAATGGTCCGGACAGGTAGACGAGGGTGAAATATATTTCTTCACCAACTCACAAGAAAGACCAGGATCACAGTCCAACAAGCAATCCATTAGTTGTTCAACAAGTGAGACATTTACATTTATAGCAGCCAAAGTGGAATTTTGTACACCTTTAGTTTCACTAGCAAGTATGTAAAGGGTTCGGGCAATAAGAGAAGCAGCAGCAACTATAGCTGATGAGTTCACATTTGCTGCATTGATCATACAAATGAGAAGGCATATGACATAAGAGACAGACATGCATGATTAGAACAAGGCAAGCAAGTAAAAGAAAATAATGCCAAGAGTATAGATTATCTCACATAAATCATCAAGGTGACTATGGTAGAACTTGTTGACAAAGACAGAGTCAAAATCTTCTAAGACAACACCAGAGATTGCAGGATTCTGATAAAAATAGGACGGAAAGAACAAAAGAAGAAAATTAATGAACAATGAAAAACTTTGGGTAGTGCTGTGATTGAACATAGTACATTAATACAAGCAGTCAATTTATGCCAATACAAATAAAGTGATTCAGCATGGCACATTAATAACTAGGTCAACTGCATCTTCCACCTAACTTATTGATGTAGTTGCAGAGTTCCCATAACCTTTTATTTGAGCATGTTAGTGCAATGTGCCCCTGGAAGCACCACCACCATTTAAATATGGGGTTAAAACTTATTTATATCAAATTAATTTCATGCGTGTGGGAATCTAGGTATAAGAATGATGTAGATAGAAATAGGTGACACAAAAAGACACTAAATGATTTCTAATGTAATGCATTAAGAGAAAGCACAAATAGGAACCATCAGATCAAGAGGGCTTGATGTGCCTTCAACATATAGATATTTCAGAGTAAAAAGAACAAGGATTTGACAGTAATTCAGTAATAAAAGTTAGTATTTTTGAGGAATTGTTGATAATCCATCTTCAGGCACACTTTCAATTTGATTCTATGTTTTTGTAGGAAGAAAGCATGAAAAAGCTACTGTTGCAAATATCCATCTCACGCAAACAGCGTGAGAATGGCGCGGATAGCGTCATGATCACATCCTTTCAACGCGAATCGCGCCACATTGGCGCTGATAACGCCAAGATTGAGGAAGAAAGGGCCAACACCACTGCCTCTTCACGCAAGTAGCGTGACATCCACGCTAATCGCGCCAAGCACAAGAATTCTTTACTGATCTCCCGCGCGAATCGCCCGGAGTTAGCGCTGATTGCGCGGACGTCGCGAATGCAGTCCTGGTTTTGTGGGATTTGATAAAAATGGAAATTTAATCAATTATCTAAGAAGATAATGACGAGATTGGATTACTGGAGATAAAAAGGGGTCAGAAACCCTAAAAGGAGCATCTTTTGGAAGGAAGGAATTAAAAAAAACACAATTGGAGAGAAAGCTCTGAAATTTGAAAGGCTGAAGATCAATACTCAGAAAAGTTGAAGATTCAAGATTTCTTCTTCATCTTCTTCTATCTCCGGTTTTATTCTTTCATGAATTCTTTTTCATTCATAGATTTGTCAGACATGAATATGTCCGGCTAGTCTTTTATTAAGGGTCACAACCCTTGATGTGAACCCCTTGTATTTTGGTTAAATTTATGTTTATTTATTTAAATTGAATTTATCTTGCCTTGTTCTTCATCTCATAATTCTTCTAGAACCGATCAATCTATTAGGATTGCGAGGGTTAGGATTTTCAATAGAGATATTGGGATTCTAATACCTGACAAAAGATAAGATAACTGTTCGTGTATGCGCTAGGGATAGGCTACATGAATCGCAAACGTGAAAGATTCACTGATTCTAAGGTTTAACTTGAAAAAGGATTTCTAAGGGATTAAGATTCTAATAAAGTTAATAAGGTTAAAGCAATTAAGGAATTAGGGCTTAACCAATTAAATAAAAGATGGTGGGTCGTTTGATCAATTGAATAATTAAATGTAAACGTTAATCCAAGTTATAAGGTGGGGATCATAAAGGTGTTTGTTTCTCTATACCGCAATATTCTCTCAAATATTTTCTCAACCATTAATATTCTGTTTTTGAGTTTAAAAAGCATCTTGGAAATTAATTTCACTTTCTTGAATTATTCTTGTTTCTCACAAACCACAATTGTTCTTTAAACCAATTTTATTAATCCAACAAGAGAGGGATAGTATAATAAATTCGGTGCCTCAATCCTCGTGGAGACGATACTCTACTCATCATTTTATTACTTGAAACGAACAGTACACTTGCCGATTTCGCAACAGGGCTCCTTAGAACTGCCGAAGCACCATATTCACAAACTTAGCTCAATTCACTATGCCCCTCTCTTCAAGAAAAGTCTGAACTTTAAGAAGTTCATGTTTAAGAAACCACCACTACTTACAAATAATTTATATTCTAGTAAGCATTGCTGTGCTCCCTAGCCAGCTCTTTTCACAATAATGTCATACTAGGGAGGAAAATAAAACAATTGTAATACTGAGCACCTTTTTCAAAAAGGTCATTAAAGAGGATGGAGGTATCCCAGGATTTGAGGTACTGGCAGATGCGATCTTTATGTTTTCAGATAGCAGTGACTCTTGTGCCCGTTTCAAGGCAACCATTGTCTGATTTGCGGCAGAAGAATCCTGCATTGGTGCAGTGTTAGTAATAAGCAGATTTGGAACAATCCTCTGACTCTAGGAAGAGCAGACACAGAAAATTATATAACACAATACATGATATCCAATTAAAACTGCAAAATTATCTAGAAGATGCATGAGTATGAACAAAGTTGACATATCAATCAAGATCTCACCCCATCTGTATGAGCAAAAAAGTTTTTAACACCTTGACTGAGACCCTTTCCAACAGAACCAATATCAATGACCTGTGAAATACCAGCCAGGAAAGCATAAATAAGGTTATTGGCAGATAAAGTGAATCTAGAGAAGGCATTTATATACAATCTAGCTTATAAATTTAAAGCAGTGCATTAGATCACCCTCCAATATTACACAGTGGTCATATTTACTAGGAGCATAAGGAATACCGTTTCAATTAATGAATGATCAAGGCCATGAACAGCATCGGACTGCATGTCAAGTTCTGCCAAAAATCTCCTACTTCCGAGGTAACCCCACGCCTCTCCAGTGAGAACTACAAAAATAAGCTGCATTGAGTTTAAGAAACAATCAGAAATATTAGTAACATGTCAGCAAAGTACTTGGTACTTGAGTATTATGGGCATGTTTGTTGTGTTTTTTTAAAGAAAATAATCCCTTTTTAATTATAACACAAGTTTAAATTTTTTTGTAATAATTAATTAGATAATTTTTTATAAAAAAAGAAAAGAAAAGAAAAAACATAAAAAAAGCAGTTTTAGTGTTTTGATTGGAAGCTAGAAAGAGTAGCTTTTTTAAAAAAAGCCATATGCTTATAAAAGCGGTCTTTTTTAAAGCTTATCCAAACATACCCTATATAAATGTTTCAAAAAGCAACCCTGAAAATTATTGTATAAACAAATATATCAGATAAAGGCAAAATGCACCCATACATGCATGTGAGCAGATTACTGCCTAAAAATTTGAAAGCATAAAGCACCATACAATAGGAAATGTAATGTAAGCATATACGATAAACCCAATACATTTATGCTCTTTTATAAAAGAACCATCAGAAGTTCACTACTTAGAAAACAAAAGGGCAGCTCACACGGCTTCCTGCCTTGCTGCAATGAGTGCTGCCCAAGAACAAATTTTAACCACAATCTCATCACAAGAAACTAGGAAGGATGGTAGATAATTATCTCACAAGCCCCAAGAAGATCACCAATAACTAAGATATATTGACCTAACAGGTTAACGTTTCCCACAAAAAGATCTTCAAGGTAAAGAATAACAAAAAACATACATGGAAAATTAGATAAAGTCACAGCACAGTGACAATGAACAAATTTTAAGTTACACAGTCCAAAAATTGAACAAAGAAAAAAATCCATAGATCATTTTGTATGCACCTGTTTACTAAGGTCACCAAGACCATTCAAACGAGAAAGTGCATCAACTGCTGCCAGTAATGCAATCAAACCCTATAAAGTTGTCTTACATTAGACAAATTTGATTTAGCAACAAACAAACATCATAAAGAAAGAAAACTATAGTCTTGAACTTACAGAAATAGGGGAGTCTGCACCAAGACTTTTGTCCCGAAAAAATGAAGCAGAATCCATAGATGCTACCGTCAATATAATGGGCTTAGACTGTTTTATGGACGAGATGTTGATTGGAGGAAGAGACGACCAGACACTGCCTTCCATATGAAACATAAACAAAGTTAACATCAAACATAACAATGCTAAGGTTTTAATTTTGTTTGCAAAATGAGAAGGGGAGAATATTAAGGGTGTGTTTGGTTATATGTCTTCAATTATAATTACAAAAATGCCATCCTGTTTTCACTTTGTTTCCTGTGAAAACATATAAACTGAAAATTCTTGAAATGGTGAAAACAATTTTTCACCATTTCCTTAGCAAAAACCAAAGTGAAAACACATAAATTGAAAACTTTTGAAATGAACAAATTTTCACCATTTCCTACACGAAACAAAGTGAAAACAAGGTGGCATTTTTTGTAATTATTAGTGAAAATATATAAACTGAAAATGAAAACAAAAAACAACCCAAATGCACAATAAGTTATTCTTTATTTAGATCCAGGACAACCCATTTCCTACTATGGGAACCATGTGATGCATAACCTTTTGCGTTTTCATGATAATATCATTCTGTCCTATGGTGGATACTATATTCACAAAGGCAATTCTTTCCATGTTTTCTCCAGTACATAAACACCTATTCCTTATGGCAATTATAAACTAATAGCTGATTGTATTTTATGCATGGAAATTTGTTGCATATAAACAAAATGATTACTTTTGACACTCCAAAAGATTTTTCGGGAGGATTCTGAAAATTCTATATATATTCACTATCTTACATGATTGAACTTGTATATAGTTCTGCAGCAACATGTCATCTAAGATAAAGTTTTGAATGTAGTTCATAATATTGTATGGTCTTACGGCACAACTCTACATATACAAATCACATTCACAAATTTTTTACCTGGATAGCTTCCCTATCCCTGGAAAGGGACGGCGTTCCCAAACCTAAATTTTTTCCCACAGGGAAAAAATCACATTCACAAAATTACACACACAGAATTTATAGAGTAGAATCGAAGAAACTTCACCTGTATCCACCTAACGGCAGGCAAGTTGCTTCTTGTAAACAAGCCTCCGAATCATGTGTTCCAGATTTCATTGTCTAATCCAAGATAATAAAAAAGGAAAAAATGCAAATAATGAAACATTTTTCTTCATATGCCAGAAAATAACAATTCTTTACAAGAATCTGGATCATACCTGCATCACAAGATCAAACTCAGCCACATTAGAAGTATAAGCTTTCCTTTTGCCTCCATTCTTAATTACAAACTGTACAAACAGGAAAGAGAATAATCTTTATTTTTACATACAGAATAATAAAATTCATAGCAAGGCACTATAAAATTAATGTCAATTGAATTAACAATATCACTCAAAAAATGTAGATTTGTGTAGGCTAGTTAGTCCCAAAAAAAATAAAAAACCTAATATAAAAATAAACTAAAAAGTAAAAACCAAGCCTACCTCCCTAGGTGGGGTTGGCTACTTAGATCAATTAACAAAATAAGATTGACTCCCTGACTACAATCTCAAAATGTAATAAACCATCACTAATCTCTTGCAAGTGTAAGAACATGAAAATACTAAGCAATACCTCTTGAAGAGTCTTTGAGCCACTTTCTGTGAGTAAAAACACAGGAAAATTATAGGATTTCCACATAATACCAGAACCCTGCAGATTTAGAGCCAAAATACAAAACACAAATAAATTAATCATTCTAAATAATTGATAGTGTTGTCTCAAGACTAAAATAGCAATGCCAAACATCCAACAAATAATTGGTTATATTCCCAGCATAGATCTTCCAATTCATCTAATACCACTATATGCTTCTGATCATAATCCACGGCATGCTTGACATATTAATTTATTTTTTAACCATAGCTCCATGTCACTGAATTTCAGCAATATACATCCATCAAAATTAAGAACTTTATAAGAATCAGAGTGTATACATTAGTTGTAAATTCCATTCTATAAAAAATAAAACAAATTAGAGTTGGAAAATGATTAGCGGTGACAAGCAAAGAAAAAGGAAAAGGACAAAAAAAAACCTATATTGACACGAGATATAAATATCCCAAGAAACTTGATGACACAAGAAAATTCATATCGTACAATTGGATTCCATTCATAGCTGATGTTATGGTCAGGAGCAAATTCAGCTTGTGGAAACTTTTTATCCGGAGAGAATCCTACGCGTGACAGAAAATGTTATCATGAGCAGCTCTAGAAGCGAGTATTACTCTAGCTTTGTTTGAAACGAGACAATGAGCAAACAAAAGCTATTTACCCTTTAACTTATTCTGCAAATCAGTTCTTGATTCAACTAGTACACCGCCAACTTTACTTGCAAAACTCAAGTCCTCTGATATTCTGAAAGGGAAAAATCAAATTAAGCAAACAATCATAATTTCACGAATCACAAACGAATATACAAGATGAACATGCAACATCACTTAAAAGCAACTAAGCAAGGACCACATTTCTTCCCAGCAGCAAATTTATAAAGTTTCTACAACTTTAAGCTAAGATGCAATAAAATTTAGCACCTCTGAAACAGAAATGTTGAAATGTGATACCTGGTAAAGAGAGTTGGAAACTCATCCAATGACACCAATATAGCAGATGGCTCTGATAGCTCATCAACATTTTCGAACCTTACAATCGGAGCCACAACCTTATCTCGCCCAGGATCTAAGGATTCAAAAATATTTATTACAACGAAAGAACAATTCACCAGCTTATCATAGCAAATAACATTTCAATTGCAACTAATCCTGAAAAACGCAAATTAATTGCAATTAATCGTAAAAATGCGAGAGAAAGCTGATATTGAGACTCACTTGAACAACCGATGGTTCCAGAAAGATTTAGCAGTCGCACACAAGGATATCCATCGACGACCGTGTACATAGTGTTCTGAAGATCAGGAACCGATTCCATGGAACTGGATTGTCCTGTTAAAAATGGAACGCAATCAGTGAGAAATGACAGTTCAAAACAAGGTTTTATGCGGAATTTGATCGTAGCAGTGTTTGAATCGAATATTGAAGTCAACGAGGAAGATGTTGATACCATAGAGGCAGGGGAGAAGGTGAAAGGTGAAGAAGAGGAAGTAGAGAGAGAGAAAGGTTGGTGCCATAGGTGAATAAACCCTAGTGAGAGTGGTGCAGGTGCAGGTGCAGTGTGTGTATTTTTCTTCTACTATGCCTTCTCAGTTTTCTTCTTCTAATTCTGAATTTGCAGGGTTCTGTGATTTCATTAACATCAAACGAATCGTACGGCTTCGATTCAGTTTCCAAATGGGGACTGGTTTGGGTTTGGGTCCTATGCTTTTGTTCTCTCTCAAAATTCGAAGATTGAAAGGTGTGGGTTTTGAACAAGTATTGTAATAATTAAGTTCTGTTATTATTAATTTTATTAGTTATATTGATTCAACGGTTATATTTATTTTCAACTTTGTATAGTTATTATTTCTCATATTTAAAGTGAAAACATTAAATATGAAAAATCATAACCAGATGAAAATAAATATAAAGTATTAAATTTGGGAAATCATGACTGTACAAAGATGAAAATAAATATAACTGTTGGATCAACATAATCGATCTAACAATGAGATTGATTGATAGTAACATAGTAATAACACAACTTGGTTGTTACAATATCCTTCCTCTTTTGAATAATTTATGTTTGTGCACATAAATTAATTTTTTAACAGCTTTTTAAGAAAGTTTAAAAAGTAATAATATTTAAAAAAAAAAAAAACTGTAACAGACATACACTAATTTGTTCATTTTGTGATTTTTTTTTTATTTTTTTTTGGTGGATGATCATTTTGTGATTTTATTTTAATTGGATTCAGTGTTATTTACAAAATAATTTAATTGGTCCATGCATCATTAATTACTGGCAAGTGGCAAGTATCACGTATATTATGTGAGTATTTTTGAAATTTAATTTAAATATAAAAAGTGTAAATTTAAAAAATATATTTAAGAAAAATAAAATTACAATTAAAGTATATATAATCAATTTAGATAGAATTTAAGATAGATACATTATGTATCAAAAAAATAGATACATTAAAAAAATATCTCAAATTATAAAAAATATATGTATGACTAATTTGAAAGACAAAAAGTTTAAGAATTGTATTTTTATAAAGAAAGTAATTTAAGAGATTAAACTACTCTTATTTTACGATTTTTTTGATGAGTAGATAATATTGTATGAAATTTTTTTAAAAAAAGAAGTATATAAACCACTAGAATGAGTTAGTGATTAGGAACTTGATCAGTTCAAAAATATTTGGAATGAGCACAATTGAGTAGCTTGATCTCAGATATTTCAGCGCTCAATATATAAGTATAGGTTGCATGATAATTATATAAATATTTAAATATTTTTGCAATATATATATATATGAGTGATTTGGTGAATTTATAAATAAATTATATATATTTATGTAATGTTAATTCGGCTTGAATTGAGACATTTTTCAAAATTAGAAATAAAATTGATACAATCGAATAAAAAATGCAATTTTTCATATTTATAATTTTCGATTTATTCAGTTTTTAGCTTGTTGTTCAGTTTTTTGGATTTTTATTGGATTGCACCACATTATGAACATCATTAGTGCTATTATTTGTTTAGTACATTGTTAAAATAAAACAAAACTTGACATGAGATTAAAAAATAATATTTTTTGCTTCTATTAAAAAAAACTAAAATTAAATTAAATAAAATTAAACTATTATTTTTTATTTTTTTATAACAAACTATTATATTTTATTCTATTCGACACTATTGATACATAAAATGCTATAATTTAAATGCTAAAAGACAAGGCTTGTTGCCTTTGGAGCATGTCACGAATTGGAGTTTGGGTAACAGCCTTTTATAAAAATGTAAAGATAAGACTGTATACAACCTCCATAAGTTGGAAGCCTTGTACATGAAATTTGTCTTCTTTTATTTACCCTAAACTATCAACCTCTCCTCTTATCTTTCCTTTATTTCAGGAAATATGCAAGGGATATTTCTAATGCAGAATAAGTAAAAATTGGAGCACCTGTAATTCCTAGATTTCATAATGAGATATAGTCAACCTCATCTCTTTGATTTTCTTCCTTTGTTTCTGTAATTTGATTTTCTCCATTTTGTCACATTTTCTTTAACATGTTGTACTCTTGACACACAGGATAATTGCATCACTCTCTCTCTCTTGCCATTGCCAATGACATTTAGACTGCTCTAGCATTTTTAAAGAAACACTATGAGAATTGCAATCCTCCCAGCAAATAGGTGAAATAACACCAACAACAACAACAACTTAGCTAGAATGTGATACATAATAATCTGATACAGATAGTAGAAGCCACAACAAAAAGTTCAGAATTCAGGATATTTAATAATTTCATTACAACATGACTAATAGATTCATTGTCTAGATTACATGAACTTGAGGCTTTTAGAAGAAAGGAGCTCTACGGGGTGTTGTTCTCTTTCTTTTGTTAACCCACTTAGAGGGTTCAGTAGTTTCCTCCTTGTTTTCCTGATGAAGACTCAGGGTGGAAATGGAGGCAGGAACTGAATCATTAAGCTTGCTTAAAACAGCTTTGACCTGAGAAAGTGCAGATACAAAAGTTAGAAAACACTAACTAAAAAGTTCAATATAGAGGGAGGGAGATGATGGGGAAAACAGGATTAAGGGGTGATTGTCAAATTACTTTCACCACCTTGCAAGAAATGGAGCAGTAGTCATATAAATCAGGCTCAGCCAACTTTCTACCACAGATATTGCATGCCTCATTCCTTTTTGCTGAACCACAGTGTGGAAGAGGCTTCAGAGCAATAACCAAACGCTTATTGCATTTGTAGGGCTGCAACCAAAGAGGAATAGAATAAAAAAGCATAGTAATGGTTTTGGTTGCAAAGATTCAACTTTCTGAACCCAATATTCAAGTTTTTTAAGCATTGCTAAAATGCTGTAAGGACTGCTGATGTGTATTAAAGACATAAAGTCATAAACAATGCATTTCTTCAAGAATGCGATATGGCCTCCTAGTTATTCCATCAGAATATTTATTGAAGAAAAACATAGCATTTCTTTTTTTCTGTATTTTTTTGTTAACTTGATGAAGAAGACAGGTTACAAAATTTAAGGATGTTGGCCACACAAAAATATGGCCAATCAAATCCCATAATTTTAGGAAATAAAACTAGAATCATTAAACAAGAAAACGGAATATCTTAAGGTTGACTGACTTATGGGCCTAATCAACCTAAACTAGGAAACAAATTATAGGAATAAATACAGAATATAATCAACCTAAACTAAGAAACAAATAATTGGAATAAATGCAGAAAAAATAGAATTGATTACGTGGAGAATCACACGTGACTGACAACGCTCCCCCTCAAGTAGGAGAGTAGATGTTGATCATTCCCGATTTGTGGCCAACCGACCGCCAACTCTTCAAATCTAATGCTTATGCTTGACAAGGCCTTGTTAGCACATCTACTACTTGATAACTGGAGGAGAAATAATTCAATTCAATACGACTCAAGTCAATATTTTCCTTAGTGAAGTGCCTATCAATTTTAACGTGCTCAGTCCTGCCAATATGAATAGGGTTCTTAACTATCCCTTTTTGATGTCATGTTATCGTAGAACACCTTCATTGGCAAGTCGTGGCAATAGTTTAATTCCTTAAGGAGTCTTAGTATCCACATTCCATCACATATTTCAAGTGCTAAAGCCCTGAATTCTGTCTATGCACTACTCCTCGCAACAACTGGTTGTTTTTTACTTATCCAAATTACTAAGTTCCTCCACACAAAAGTAGAATAACTTGTAGCAAATCTGTTGTCAACTACTGAACCAACCAGGTCATTTGAGTACACTTCTACACCTTTATAAGGTCCCTTTCTGAAAAATGATCCTTTAAGGAATCATTTTTAAGATATCTCCCGATTCTGTACACTACCTCCAAGTGCTCATCATTTGGTTTGTTCATGAACTAACTCAATGCCACCTTGAAAATTGAATTCTCGACAAGTGTGAGTTAAGATATCTCCCATTAGCCTCTAATATTTCTAAGTGTCAACTTCGTAACTTTCTAGTTTGAGATTAATACAAATCTTTGGAGAAATTCACCCAAAAGCTAGCTTGTACGGTAGGAGAGCTCAAAGTCTATATAAACACCACATTAGATCCTTATGTTTCCGATGTGGGACTCCACGCCCCATACCTTGCAATTGGATCGTAACATTCTACCACCCGCTGCAGCCCTAGCGCCCACGTGGGTTGGCTTTGCATTAGTCTTTTACTAGCCCTGGACGAACATTGCAATGTCAACATCACCATCCACGCCGCTCGATTGCAACTGGGAGACATAGTGGAAGGCTCTGATACCAATCGATATGAACCATAGGAGAACCTCACACCAAAAGCTAGCTCGTAAGGTAGGAGAGCCTAAAGTCCATATAAACCTCACACCAGATCCCTATGTTTCTGATGTGGAACTCCAATTCTCATACTTTGCAATTGGATCGTAATAGAGACCTATTTTGTAGTTAGCTTCCATGGGGTGTATGCAAGTTTACACCTAACATACATGTTTCCTCAAGTAGGTCTAGTGTGTATTTCCCTTTCGAAATGGAAATGCTCTCTTTGGTTCTTGTCACTTCCATTCCAAGAAAGTACATTAAGACAGCCATGATCTTTTATTTCAAAATCACCTACTAGATACTTCTTTAATCTATCAATTTCATCAATATGGTCTCTAGTGATCACAATATATCTACATAAAAAAGATCACTCCCAATGAAATCCTGACTTGCGAGGGTATGAGTAAGGAAAATCTTTGTACACAGCCTTGCCATTACATTTTTACACAAAGGTTGTTTCCTACATTCGAACATATGACGTTTTAGTCACAAAAGAAAAGGTTTATCACTGCTCAAGACTTGACCTCTTACAATATCATCCACACTAACAATTAATATTACTAATTTTTGGTCTAGCCCTATCTTGACAAACGGAGTGTGATTTGTTTGGCATTGTTTGCACCCTTGAACCTCGACTATAGTGGTGAATCTTTCAAATGGTGATTGCTTGAGATTGACTACATAGGAATTTATGAAGTTTAAACACATTTTTAGAGCCATTTTAATACTCCATCCCTTGTGGAATTCCCTCGTAGATGCCTTCCTCCAAGTCTCCATTTAGAGACACATTTTTTACATCTAACTAATGAAAAGGCTAGTTAGGCTTATGGCAATAGAGTGTAACACTTTAATCGTGTTGAATTTGGCCACGAGTGCTAAGGTTTCCTGATAATCGACTCCATGAGTTTGTGTAAATCCTTTGGCTACAAGTGTAGCCTTGTAACAGTTGATGCTTCCATCAGGATTATATTTTTATGAGAAAATCCACTTGCATCCTATTCCTACAAGTGTGTTGTCTGGTAGAAGATCAACTATATCCAATGTTTTATTCTTCTTAAGAACAACTAACTCTTGTTCGATGGCATTCCACCATTCTTCCTTCTTTGCTGCCTCATAAAAGTTGTTACGGATTTTCTCAAGCGCCACGCTATTCACAAATGTTTACAACCTTGAAGATAACTTATTATAGAAATGAAGTAGTTGATTGCATGTTTAATATAGTTTCTTGCCCCTTTTCGCATGGAAATAGCCATATCCAACTCCATTTGGAACTAGAAATAAGAGAAATGGCCTAACCTTGCTTAAGACATATGTTGCCTTCAACATCTTAAACGTATCCTGAAGTATTTTGCTTTACCCTCTACTACCTTATGGCTGTGAGGATAGCTTCACCCACGAAGTGTTTGGAGTATACGAGGTAAAAACGAGAGATTTGACCCCTTCTAATAGGTGTCTGTATTTTTCCTTTCCGCAAACCCATTTTGTTGGTGGGTATTGTCACATGAGCATTGGTGTAGGATTCCATGATTTTACAGGTATGAGGTTAGTTCAAGGTTGAAGTAGTCCCGAACATTATTAGTTCTTGGGATTTAAATCTGAGTTTTGAATTGGTTCTGAATCAACATATGAAAGGTTTTAAAGACTTTTGTGACTTTAGAGTTTGTAAGAGACACACCCATGTTAGCCTAGTTTGGTCTGTGAAGGTGACGAGCCATCTTGCCCCATTAAAGTTTTTCAGTGTGGCTAGTCCCTATACATCACTATTTATAAGTGAAATCAGTTTATAAGCATGAATCATGATAGCTGTGTGTGGGATAAGAAGATTTTACATGCTTGGACAATTTGGCAAATTTCATGACGACAAAAGGATAATTTTTTATCCAGTAAATCAGGATACAACCGTTTCATGTAAAGGAAATTTGGGTGGCCTATGCCACAACAGTACATCATCAATTTGGTTGACTAAAGCATATTGGGTCACTGTTTCTTTCGGCATCCTTCCGGGACTTTGTTTGGTAGAGTCAAACACACATCTTAGCATTGTCAATAAGGTTATTGAACTGCAATTCAAATCATGAATCATAAGATTTAGAAACATAATGAAGAATAGCTTAAAATGCATCATACAAACGATGTATTGAATATAAAAGCTAAAAATTAAAAAATTCATAATACATAAGCAACCAAATTTCAAACTAATTATTCTCCCACTGATCAATCATCAATTGAATTTGAGAGGCTCTCTTTGAGAAGTAGCAAGGGATGCGCGAGGAACAACAAAAATTGGAGGTTCACGAATCGACTGAACACCGAGATACACAATTTCTAAATAGTTTCGCCCAATTCAGGCATTTCGTGTAGCAATTCCAACCACCAAGCGGTTCGGTCTGCGATTTGTATCGTTTTGATTGCGAATCAGATCAAAATGTACGATACAAATCGTGAATCGTACTCTTTCTACAACATTGATGCCAATCCTCTTCCCCGATTTAAAATCCCAAAAAAAATCCAACACACTTCAAATCTCAAGTAAATTTGATGATGGGTAAAAGATTGCATGTCAATTGAGGAACAAACAAAACATCTTAAGTATTAAGGCCTCTGATAGTTTTACAATCACAATGCTACTAACTTCTGCTAAATCACCATCAGCTCCTGAGTCAACAACCAAAGCATTGAATTTTCTAGTTTAAGCATGCAAGGGTGTCAGAGGATACTTGCCTATGCTATTGCACCAATACCCATGTGTTTATCTAGATTGTGAGCATTAAACATCTTTTGGATGACCTCCAACTGTTCTTTGCTGAACATGGCAGGTTCAAGAGCAGTATGTTTCTATTCCTCTGTGGATACCAGGAGACATCAGTTTTCACTTGATTGCCTAGCCTTCAAATTGGCAGGCTTTCCATGTAACTTCCAACATACTTCTTTGGTGTGACCTGTTTTATTGCAATGTTCACACCATAGTTTACCATTCCTTCGAGGTTTATTTTCAGAGGTAAAGTTTCCCCTAACAGCAAAAGTAGCGCACTCTGAGGCTAATTTTGTATTTTGTTGTCTGTGAGTCAATTGTTGCCTACTATATTCACATTTTACCTCAACAAACACTTCTTGAATTGAGGGTAATGGGTGTGTGGCCATGATCATATCTTTGGCTGCATCATACATTGGATCAAGGTCCAATAGGATAAATCCTCCCTCTTCACAATTTTCTTATAAGAGGCTGCACCTACGGTGTTAGTCCAATTATGATCTTCATAGAGAACAAGTTGTTGCCAATACTTCACCAAGGTGTTGTAGTACTAAGTAACATTATTATCTCCCTGTTTCAGATCCTTCCAGATACCTTTATCTAGAATAATGCAACAATGTTATCTACCTTGGAATAGGATTCTCGTACAGCATCCCATATTTCTTGGCTATCGCGTCCAGCGTGCAAGTTTCTGCAATTTCCGTTGTCGTGGAATTCCCAAGCCAAGACATAACCATATTGTTCTCAACTTTTCATGTCTTGTATTTCAGATCAAACTTCACTGGCTGAGCACATTCTTAGTAAGGTTATCTTCCTCTCCATGACCACAGACAAACATCAGTGCAAGTGTATCTTCTTTATCTTCCTTTCCATGTATCTTCCTCTCACTTTTTCTCTTTCATCCGTTCTCTCTCTCACAGCTTCTCTTTTTCTCCTTCATTTGTTCTCTTTCTCTCTTACTATTTCTCTCATTATTTCTCTCTCTCTCTCACTCTTTCTCTCACTCAAAGCTTTGCTTCTTCGTTCATGGCTTCCACATTGAACTTCAATACTATAAGAGAGAAGTAGAGAAGGGAAGAAACCAGCGCGATAAAAAAAGCAAGAGACGCAGAAGAGAGACGCACAACAGAGAGGCAGAAAGAGAGAGTGGGTTAGGGTTAAAACCATAAAAATACACTATTGCGGTGAGATTATTGCGATTTTGGTGCGGCGCGGCGCAGATGGATGCGGTGAAGCTCCGCAAAACGCAACTGATGATAACATTTACGGACCACATTAGATAATTGGTCCCGTTGAACTGGTGTCTTGGTAATCATGAGAGGTGGATTGACGACACCCATAGTAGGAATGGGGTGATGTTTGACTGATTGTCAGAGGTGAGCGATGTTTGAGATATGATGGAGGACGTCTCTTGAGACGTCTGTTAGGCACTCATGATGCCAAATCAGATCACAAATTCATGGTCAGGCCCTCAGTAGAGAGCTTTGATACCATATAGAAAAACAGAGCAGTTTTCTATGAAGAAGATTGTTACAAATTTAAGGGTGTTGACCACACACAAATTTGGCCAAAAAATCCCATAATTTCAAGAAATAAAACTAGAATCATCTAAACAAGAAAACAAAATATTATAAGGTTGACTGACAAACGGGTCGAATCAACCTAAACTAGGAAACAGATAAAAGGAATAAATAAAGAATAACATCAACCTAAACTAGGAAACAAAAAACAGGATTAAATGCAGAATAAATCAACATTGATCACGTGGAGAATCACATGTGACTGACAATCACATATATAGATGTGATTTGAACTTTTTTCTTTTGAGATTGCTACCAATTGATCCGGTATTATTTGTTAATACACAATGCAAGACAACTGGACACAACAAAATGATGTGGTTGGGAATGATCCCCACGAGAAAATATTAACCAGAGGAGAACTAGCTGACAATTAGCAAAAGATGTAGTGATAACCAGCGAAGTATTTTGTCTACATTTCTGATTTTCATGCCCCACCAACATATCCATACAGGCTTTTTGACCCTTATGCCCCTTAATTAATAATTAATTACCAAATTGCCCCTCATTCAAAACTATTTCGAAAATTTACCCTCCCCAACAAACATAACACCAATCTGCCCCTGTTTGACCGTTGACCACGAAGCCTACCCGGGTACACCATTACCTACCCGGGTAAATTTTGAAACTTTTTATCTACCCGAGTATGTAGGGGTGTACCCGGGTAGAGTTCTTGAATCTGGGAAAATGTTTGAATTATTTACCCGGGTACGGAGCAGTGTACCCGGGTAAATCGCGTCCAGAAACCCCAATATGTATGGGTTTCGGCCATTGTTGCGAGGTATAGGGTTTTTGAAACCCCAAATCTTTCTCTCTTACCCTCTCTAATCCGAAACATCACACATATTTCATCTCATCATTTCAGAAAGCTGAATCTTGGTGGGACATTGAGATTACATCTCCACACTCCCATTTTGTGCTAAAAAATCCGAACCAACCTCCAAACCCAAAACCTAGATCTAATTTTTGTGTGAAAGATGAGTTCAAGTCCAAACATGGTTCCTATAGTTGTTTACTACAATGGGAGGCATTTTGAAGGTCCGAACGGTGTCCGATTTGAAGGAAAAACAAAAACAATGAAAATCAAAGTGGGCACTACATGCAATGAACTGAAGGAGAGAATTCTTCAAAAAATGGGGTCAGAAGGCATACATTCCATCCACCGCATGATAGCCAGGTTAGAGACTGGAGTGGATATGGATACAATATACTACATTGGAAACGATATAAATGATGATGAAGATGTGGAGTTCGTAACAGATGCGTTTGTTGAATGGAAAATATTAAAATATATTGAGATATATGTTGAAGTTGATGTTGGACAATCTTCATCTTTACCGGTGCATACAACCACTACTGCACACTGTACCGGTCAAGAAGATACAGTTGTACGATCTTCTGCACCTCCTCAGGTAGCATGGGATGAGGATGAAGAGGATGAAGACGAGGACTATGTGGACAGCGAAGATGAGGGAGAACCTGAAAGTGCTATTCCAGAAGGTGATTCGTCAGACACTGACGTGGACGGTAATTTTGAGGCTGACATGAGCGCCGTAAGTCTCGGTACCCCAGCCTTGTCACCACTTCATGTCGACCCAGTCAGTAGTGGTAAGTTATTAAATTTGAATATTTGCTTTAGACAATTTATTATTTGTGGTAAGTTATTAAATTTGACATGATCTTTAGATGCAGGGTCTGAGGAGCCATTCTGGAATGAAAGCCAACATTATTCATTCATTAACTGGGCGTATGACATACAAATTGATAAAATAATTCGGACAGAATCAAATGATATAAACGAAAATACAATGAATCAGAACAGAAATCATAACATAATTGAAAAAACTGAAAAAAAAATGCACCTTTGATCGATTTCAATCGGTAGAAGGCAGAGAGGTTGCAAGGTCCGCGAATGATGATCACAAACAAGACGAATTAGTGCAAGATTATGCCTGAAATCGCTCAAGATGACACTCCTCCAGCAGCTCTACTCGGGTACCCCTTTTGTGGGTTTTCGAAATGGGGCTGCTGGGGTATTTTAAAACCCTACCGTCGATGTTTACCCGGGTACACTGCTCCGTACCCGGGTAAATAATTCAAACATTTTCCCAGATTCAAGAACTCTACCCGGGTACACCCCTACATACTCGGGTAGATAAAAAGTTTCAAAATTTACCCGGGTAGGTAATGGTGTACCCGGGTAGGCTTCGTGGTCAACGGTCAAACAGGGGCAGATTGGTGTTATGTTTGTTGGGAAGGGTAAATTTTCGAAATAGTTTTGAATGAGGGGCAATTTGGTAATTAATTATTAATTAAGGGGCATAAGGGTCAAAAAGCCTATCCATACATGTTGTACATAATTATTAATAGGACAGTTATTCCCAAGGTCAAATGATAGAAAAAATCTTAATAAAAAGTATTAGCAATAGGCACTTAAGCTAAATCCAGCAAGTTATGTCCTATATAAAAAATGAGGATCACCCAACAACACAACAATAAGGAAAAGGAATAAATAATGCATTTAAATTAATTCTCCATTGTACCTGTTTTCTTGTTGCGTTTCACAAGATAGGCAATCAAGAGTCAATCAAGACTTGCCAAAGAGATAATGATCTCTTGCAGCTTCTCCATATGAATTTAAGCCAGTAATATTATCTTAACAAACTAATCAATACAAACACATAAATGTGTGCTCCGTTGCATAAGATTTGGATGCTACATATGAAATATTCGGTCAGAACCTTAAAGTCAAGGTTGGATATCATACCTGAATTTGTGAGCAGTCAAAATGCTTCTCCATAGCAGCAAGGGCGACAACATCTGTGAAAAGGTGTCTATAGATTTTAAGCATCTTGTGCTGGCAATGAGTACTCGATGAAGCGCAATATTGGCAAACTGACACACTGCAGTTTATACAGTATTTGTTCAACTCATTCCTACAAGAAGGATGAGCTGTACATGGGTCAAAGAAAGCTTTGCTCAGAAAATCCTCAAGCCACTTTGGCTGGTAAGCTTTATCCACTTGCTCATCCTACAAAGTAAGCCATATCAGTAAAGCTTACACTGAAAGGTACAGAAAGAAACTGTTATGAACCCAGAAATCGGTTCTAAGTTTTCAGATAGAGAGATGAGGAAAACAGAGAACAGAAATGAAAAGGAAGTGCATTACAAACTACAAAAAACGAAAAAGGAGAGAATTTTCCTCCAAGAGTCACTGCTTTGTTTTACCTACTAACAAATCTGAATGACCTTCTCATCTATCCCCTTTGTATTTATAAGCCTCAGCTATTGCAACTCTAACCACCTAACTAATTCTATAACTACTTCCTGCATCCTCAGAAACCATTGCTTATCCTTCTACCTTTTTTATAACTTTCACTCTTAACTTTGTTTTAATTTTCCATGTCACCTAAAAGTCGACTGTCCTGCTTAAATGTTGGCAATTTTGTGGCTGGAAAGATACTTCGTTACAATTGATGCGTCGAAATGTCCAAACTCACTTTGCCGCCTATTAGTGTTGTCTTTTATGGTCTTACCATTGAAACAGAAGAACGAAGTACACATGGAGCTACCGCAAATAAGGCATTCTATTACTTCTAAATTACAGGCCAACCAAAAATGAGAACAGCTTATTCCACATAAAAATATATAGAAATGAGTACTGAGGGTGTAGAGCTTAATAGGAGTTGAAGATCAGGTTGAAAGTAATTTATGGCGAAGCAATAATTATTTGTCTTTGCTTGAGCACATTTGTTATTCAAATACATCAAAAGCTAAATTATAGCAATTTAACATGTGAAACTTCCATATGACTACAACTAAAAAAGATAGTAAGAAATGTTTGGTATTACAATAGAATCAAATGTATGAAAATATTCAGTGCAGTTATTCTCTGAAATCATTAAATCTTCAGTATTTTGGTCATTCTATGCTACTTCTTTGACTAGCAATTAGTTTAATTGCATCGAAAAAAAGAATTGGAATCTAACTTCTCTCTTGATGATTTACCAAGCATCAGAAACATTAAGTGCTTTGGAACTTAAAAGAACTAACCATGAAAAAAAAATTCTTCAAACAACACCCCTTGACAGAATTTTTTCAGTGAAGAGGGAAATTGTTAACAGAATTAATAAAATACCCAAGATAAAGGAGTATTTGCTAAATACTGCTCGAATTAACATAAAAGGAATATATAGGAAAAAATTTCTGGTCACATATCCATTACAAGAGCTAAACCACTCTCTATTAAACCTCGACTAGCGAGGGTGGGGTGAGGGCAAGAAAATCTTTGTAAGCAACCTTATCCTTGCATAATTGCAAAGAGGCTGTTTTCCGGATTCGAACCCGTAATCTTTCAGTCACAAAGGAACAACTTTACCATTGCTCCAGGCTCACTCTCTTTATCCATTAGAAGAGCTAATCATGAAAAAATAGTCTTAATGACACTTCATTGACAGAATTTTTTTTTAGTAAAGAGGGAAATTGTTGAAAGAATAAATAAAATACCAAAAATAAAGGACTATTTGCTAAGTACAGCACAAATTAACATAAAAGTAGTACATATGCAAAAAAAATTGGTCACAAACCTTGTCCACTTTTTTGGATGAAGAAGCACTCATCATTTTGATTAATGCTTCAGAATGAAAAGATGTTCCCGGAGGAATCCCAGATTAAATTTGATGAATTTGACTAATTAAGAAGAAGCAAAGAAAGAGAGGACTAAGCGTTATCCTAGGAAGCAAACAGTCAGATATGATGCTAGATTCCTAACCAAAATGTGTTCATATATTTCAGTAAAGAAACAATGATGAAATCGAGGCATTTCAGTTAATCTTCTTTATCTTATTTGCGGACTGCAGGACAGGTGTTTATTCGGCAATGTGGCTTTAGTCTGCTTCATCACTCAACAAATTGTAATTAGTAGAATTCAGTTTCATTTTTATAATATCCTTCCTTAGAGAGATAGTATATAATCCAGAGTGTCATTTCCATGATGCACATTATTACAAGATAGAGAATACATGTATAAAATTTGGCTGTTAACATCTTCATGCAGCCATAAATGACAATTGGCAAAAGCACCTGGGTTTATGCTCATTTTCTCAGCAATTTTTAACCTTATCACATGAAGCCCACAGAGAGTGCATTCTTTGTGCAAAAAAGACAAAAAAGTAAAAGAAAAAGCCATGAACTTCGGTATTAATCACTAAAACATCAGTGGAATAGGTTTGTAACCGCAATGACCCTTTACAGACAAATCTCAAATTCCCATACACATTTTCCATTTCAGAAGATCCTGAATTTCAGATAAAGTATAAACAGTTACCATCAAACTGAAAGACTAAATTAATTATCCTTTAAAACTAAGATCTATGAAAGTTTGCACCTAATATTTGTTCATACTTCATTACAGCTCACTTGCTCAAAAAATAAAAATAAATAAATCAAACAAAGTATCAACTTTATGATTTCAATGTACTTACCCATGAGAGAATGGAAATGCATTTGGATGAAAAACACATGTTTGGTCTGCATTACCCTCATTGGTATTGTTTTCCTCAGTTGCCTCCATAGTTGTCTGCAAAAGGGAATAGTAGGTTAAACCCAAAATTGGTACTAAGAAAAATTATCATGGAAACATATTATTTTATTTAAAAAAAAATAAAATTTTCAAATATTTAAAATATCACAACATTCATCTAATTAAAGTGATGATTAAAAAAGTAATTTAATAATTATTTATTATCGTCAACTAACTAAATTAATAATAAAAGTATTTTAAAAAAAATATCACAGTAATACTTCAATATTTTAAAAAATAAACTTGTTTGAGAGATATATAATATTCTCAGTCTCAAAAGTAAAATGGATTAAGACAACGAAGTAAAGGGTGTTTGGTAATGTTATAAAAAAAAAAAAAAAGGGTGTTTGGTACGCGGTATAAAAATTATATTTTTAAAAATTAAGACTTTCGAATAAAAAAAAATTTCTTCTCTGCCTATCGCTCCAAGAGTGCACCTTTATCGTAGCTTTTTGTAATAAGCAATATATGTGCGCTTTCACATAGCGAAATTATATGAAAAAGTTAAATTTAATAGAAGAACATACATAAAGGAACAAGGATTTTCTTTGGATCAATCCAAGAAACAAAAAAGCTAAAAAGTAGTTTAATGTTGAAGTTTGAGGTCAGGGCTTGTCTGTTTTCCTTTCTTTCTTTTTTTCTTTCCTTTTTTTTTTTTTTTTGTCTTTTTGAGGGTTGCACAGTAACATTTATAGCAGGAAACAGAGAATGAGAGAACCATATATGCTGGGTTGGGCTTCTAGTCATAATGGGCCAGACTGAATTCTGATTGTAAGATAAAGAGTTTAATTTATTTAGCAAAAAAGAGTAAATTTATAATAATATGTATAGTTTATTATTTTTTAATCCTATAATTTATAAATATTTGCTCCAACTCCCTACCTGCATCTTAATATACTTAGTATAAAGTATAATTTTTTGTAATGTTATATTGACATATGATTTTGATGATGATTTAAAATAATTTGCATTAATAATAAATTAAAATTAAACTCTCTAGCTAATTATATTGTACTTTTATATGTAAATATAAATATTTATTTATATGTCAATATTATCTATAGTTATCTTGCCCTTATTTTTTAAATTTAAGGGTTTATTGGCTCGTTTTTAATTGGGTCAGTTAAATTATTTACTTACTCATAAGAATTTTATCTATTTGCAGTTTGACCTTAAATAATTAATATAATTATAACTTAAACATATGATTGTGCTTAATCATATGTAATATATTTATTTATTTCTAAATTAATATATAACTGATATATATATATATATATATATATATATATATATATATATATATATATATATGCGCTTGCGTGCGTGCTTGTACGTTGAAGCATGTGTAAGTAAACATTATTCTTATTAAGTCCTAAAATATCCAAAATGAAGATGTAAGATGTTAATAGCTCGAGTACTAAATTTTTTTTTTATTAACAGCTCGTTTTTATACTGTACTCTCAGTCCTAGTAATCTTATGCGCATGGAAATGAGACTTGCATTATATATTATCTCTCTAAGGAATGATGGTATAAAAATGAAACTGAATTCTGCTAATTATAGTTTGTTGAGTGATGAAGCATATTATAGCCCATTGTTGTTGAGTGCTAAGAAACATCTATGCTGCAATCAGCAAATATAATAAAGAGTTTAAATATATGGGCTGTAATTGATTAATTTTTATTTCCTTCAAAATCATAAAAACAATAACGATTAATGCAATTAATTAGTTAAAGACATTATTTGTAATAGAAATGCCAAAGAGATATCTGGTTTAATGATTTCATAATTTTGATTTAAAAATTAAGATTGTGTTATCCAAATTATATTTCCATATCACAAAATGATCACAGATAGAATTTTATTTTGATATTCTTATTCATTTGATAAAAACTCATGACAGTTTATTTAATTATAAAACACACGTTGCACGGATTTGGATCCTCTCATGTGAAAAAGTGATCATGTGGTCATGTTATTTGATCATAACCATTCATTTAAAAATTATACATTTTTTTCTCTTTTATCTCATTATCAATGAGCGAAAATAAATGGCTATGATCAAATAACATGACCACATGATCACTTTTCACATGAGAGAATCCAAATCGCACGTGCACCTATATATATTGTTAACTTTAGATTTTCAAATGAATATGATTCTTGATTTCCTTTAAAGTAAATTTTAGATGACTTAGTTATCTTCCCCCCGCGACATAACTAATATATGATACTTATATATATATATATATATATATATATATATATATATATATATATATATTATCATAAAAGGAATGGATACTATTACATTTTAAGACTAACGAATGTCATAAGTAGAAATAGGTTAATCATTGTAAAAATTAAATAAAATTAATTAAAATATAATAAGAATCTCAAATATAAAATCCACCATCACAATACAATTAAGATCAATTTACCAATTTTGTGAATTGAATGAGAATAATTTTTCTTAAGACACTCATTTAATCCATTGAATTGTTCACTCATATTGTGAAGGTTACAGTTTGAGTATCTTGTACTCTTAATAACACAAATATTCTATATCCTCCATGGATAGAAGGACATTTAAACTAAACATCTCTCAATCATGACAAAATATTTGGTAGTGAATGCCTCATGTTAATGCTGCCAACAATGACTTGCTGTAAAATAAATTTGGTTATCTCGAAGTGATCTATATAAAGAAGAGATTGTCTGCAAAAACCACAACAAACAACTTTTCTAATTTCCATATTGTTCTTTCTGTTTCCTTATCACCACCATGACTAGAAAGAAGGTGAAACTTGCATTCATAGTCAATGACTCAGCAAGGAAGGCAACATTCAAGAAAAGGAAGAAGGGTCTAATGAAGAAGGTTAGTGAACTTAGCACCCTTTGTGGGATTGATGCATGTGCTATAATTTATAGCCCCTATGATCCTCAACCTGAGGTTTGGCCATCCCCATTGGGAGTTCAAAGGGTGCTTGCCAAGTTCAGAAGAATGCCTGAATTGGAGCAAAGCAAGAAGATGGTGAACCAAGAAAGTTTTCTGAGGCTGAGGATCCTAAAGGCCAAAGAGCAGCTGAAGAAACAAAGGAAGGACAATAGGGAAAAGGAGATGACTCAACTCATGTTTCAGTACCTTAGTGCAGGTAAAATTCTTCACAATATAAGCATGGTTGATTTGAATGATTTGGCATGGTTGATTGACCAGAACTTGAAGGACATCAATAGAAGGATTGAAACATTGAACAAGAATGCTCAGAGCCAACCCCAAATGGCAACACCAGTGGTGACTGATGGAGTAGCCAAGATTGAAGAGAAGGCACAAGGGAGTGGTCATGGCCAGGGATTGGATATGAACATGGATGTCATGCAAAAGCAGAATTGGTTTGTGAATTTGATGAATAATGGTGGTGGTGGGGAAGAGGCACTGCCTTTTGGAGATGTTAATAACCAAAATGGCTATTGGCCAAATCCCTTTTTCCATTGAAAAAGGGTCTAAGTTTTCATTGTTTGATGTATGGTTATCATTGTAGATGCCAAAATAAGTGACCATGATGGATTGTGTACAATTGGCTTGTTTATTTCCTTGTTTCACCACTTTTTATTCTTTCTTTTCTTTTCCCCATATATTGATGGAAATTGAACATACAATGTAATACAAATTATTCAAACCTCTCACCGCGTTAGAACAATCAACCTAATACAAACTACTCAAACTCTTTCTTCACCACTAGAACAATCTCAGTGGCTTTTTATTCTTTCTTGTTTAAGAATGTCTACTTCTCACAATGTGTTTGTTGGGTTGAATAAATAAACTATTGGGGTTTTTTATTTGAGATTTGTTATTATTAAGAATAAGATTGCTTTAGAAAAGGATGCCGGTTTACCTTTAGTTGTGTAAATCCAGATAAAAATGACAGTCCTGAAAATCTTTATCCTATATATTTTATAATTTCTCATCACCTTCCATGATATAGCTAGGCTTTACTTGTTAAGCAAAATATAAAATTGAAATACAGAAATGGATGGTTTGAAAGTTGCATTCTATATTTTTTTTATGGAATTATTCGTAAACAATTAAACATTGATAGGTTAAGATCACGACAGATCTACAGCGTGGTAATTAAGTACCATAATTTGATAAACTTATATATAAATATTGGTAATCTTTTTATTCTAAATAATTCATTGTCTGTGTTTTTTTTTATATATACATAATTCATTGTTTGTTTTATTTTTATCACCGTCTAGCTCTTGGGTTAAAATGCCTCTTACCACCACACCACCAAACTAACTATGGGGTAGGTTTGTTTTTTCTCCAGTTTATTCTTTTGATTGTTACACCAATTTACATGTTCTTATTTTAAATTAATCTATTATTGAACAAAAATTTTTTGAGCATTTTGCTTTTTTATTTAATTAAAACAAACCAACCAATAATTATAAAAATTACAAGACCTTAAATTCTCATTGTACTCAAATAATATGTAGGCATTAATGAAATGTTTACTTTGTATAAGTCCAATTCATAATTTAGTTTTTTATATTTATTTTATTGTTTCTTGTAACTATTTTTTTTCATGGATCATTTTTATTTCTTGTTTTGCTTGTAAATATAATGATTTAATTCTCTTGATTATAGGTTACCATGGGATATTTAATATATATTTTAAGTATATATTTAATATATTTAAATTATTATAATGTACACGATTAACTTTAAAACAATTCTTTTAGAATAAATGCATAAAAAATATAGTATAATTTAGTTTTTGATATTTTTCTTTATAAAAGCCAAATATCGAACCTAACTTTAAATGGTCAAACAATTTTATTTTAAAACATTGTTATGAAATACTTTATTAATTTCTTAACAAATCAAATATAATTGGTGACAATTAATCACTATTTAAAATGGAAATTGATGGTGCTGCTCGAAAAGGGTTAGAAATGGCTTGGGCAAGTTGTTGAGAAAGGTGATTATTGAAATTCACTCAAATAACATAATAGTTGTGCTCACCAAAAATGATAAAGTTGCTTGTGAGTCTCATTTGGTGACTCAGGTACGAACTTGTTTATCTAGAGATTAGGAGATACAAATCAACCACATTTATAGAAAAGGAAATCAAAGTGCTGGATGCAAATTTCTCACTGGATCATCCAGAAGAGGAGCTTTACTGTTATTATCAATCTCCTCCCCCTGGTGTTTGTCTTTTACTTTTTTTTTTTTTTTTTATAAATAAAGAGGGGCTAAGCCCCATAGTCTTTTACTTTTAGCTGATATAGTTTTGTTGGTAGCCATCGTAATATTATTATCTGATTTTGTTTTTGTTTTTGGGCGTGAGCCCTTTATTCCACCCAAAAAAAATATCCGATCCGTGTGATTCCAATCGTAACATGCATGTCTCAATTTTCCAAAAAATAAACTTCAAAGAATCAATTGAATGTGTGTATCTTTGTACAACAATGAATTTTGTTTCTATAACATGGACTATACAAAAAAATATAGATAAATAAATAAAGGGATTTGCATTTGTCATTTAACATGACACAACAAACTTTCTTGTACATACAACATTTTGTGGGGTCCACACTTTTTGAAGAAAAAAATAAAAAGAAAA